TGAAGGTGCAAGAAAATTTGGTTTCTGGTGAGGACTCCTTTCCTAGCTTGTAGACAGTCATCTTCTCTGTAAGTACTTGCAAGGCCTTTCCTCTGTGTCATGTAGCGTGAGAGAGGGAGGGAGGAAAAAAAGGGAGAGAGAGAGAGAGTGAGAAAGAGTGAGAGAGAGAAGAAGAAGAAGAAGAAGAAGAAGAAGAAGAAGAAGAGAAGAAGAAGAAGAGGAAGAGGAAGAGGAAGAGGAAGAGGAAGAGGAAGAGGAAGAAGGAAGAGGAAGAAGAGGAGGAAGAGGAAGAGGAGGAGGATGCCTCTAGTGTTTCTTCTTTTAAGCACATCAGTCCTGTTGAATTGGGTTCCACTTTTATCCACGTTTATGACTCATTTTAACCTTAATTAATTCCTTAAAACTTCTGTTTCCAAAAGCAGTCACATTGGGGGTTAGGGCTTCCATATATTAACTTGGGAGAGACACCGTCGGGGTTGTCATTTTACTCTGGGAACAACCTCGAACCCTCAGTAGGCAGTTCATCTTGGCAGTGATGAGGTTTAGCAAGAACTAGGTTTGCCATTCAAGACCCTTCTACTTTTCACCTTCTACTTTCTACCCCCATGGAGTTCCCAGCTGCATGGGGGCAGGAAATATTACCTGAAAGCTGTTTTCTACGTATGTTTAAGTAATTCACATATCTTATATACCCTCTGGGACTACAGACCCCGGGAAGATACCAAACTGCCTTTCCCCTCAGGTGACTTAGTGGGCTTCCTCTCTGCACCTTGGCACAGAGCATTATGCTTTTATTTACAATGTACTTCTATCATGACCTGCTTGTCCACCTCTCCCCTGGTTTCTTTTTTTGTTTGTTTGTTTTTGTTTTTCTTCCAGTACCAGGAATTGAACTCACGACCTTGTGCTTGCCAGGCAGGCACTGTGCCGCTGAGCTAAATCCCCAGCCCCTCCCCTGGTTTCCTGAGAGTAGGACTTATGTCTAGTCTCATTTACATTTATTTCCCCAACACCCTGCTCAGTGTCCATACCATTACGTATTTGATACCTGCTTGATGGGTGGAAAAAAAATAACCTCCTAGAACTATTGATACTGAGGCAGATATGAAGTTAATAATGCTTAAGCATCAGGGTCCCACATTTTTGATGGCCTACCTAGCGATTTTGAGTTCATCACTAAGTATCTGTTTCTCTAAAGAGACTCCCACACCCCAACACCAACACAAAAACAAATCCCAAATCAACCAACAATTAACTAAATTTTATGCTCTAAAAAACATGGATTAGCCAAGTGTGGTGGTGCACACTTGTAATCCCAGCACATGGGAGACTGAAGCAGGAGGATTGACACAAGTTTGAGGCCAGCCTGGGCTACATAGTGAGTTCAAGGCCAGTCTGAACTACATAGCAAGATCTTGTTTCAAACAAACCAACAAGCAAACAAGTAAACAAATACCACCAAACAAACAGGAAAACAAACAAAGATACGTGCGTGTCCCCTGGGTTGCTGAAGATGGGGTGTGTCTCCCTGCTGTGTTTGCTATTTCTTTCTTATTTGCCACTAGAGAAGGGTGGGAAGTATCTAAAATACATTTCTCTTTCCCTGAGACCTTTTTGAGAGATATAATCTGTCACTCGGCCATCCTTTGATCAAAGCAAATGAAAATGCTGGAGCTGTGTGCTTGGCAGCATAGAATATACTGACTTCCAAAAATCACGTTAATTACAGACGAAAAGATGCCTCGGTGTGACTCCAGGAAAGTTTTCTTCCCACCAGTTATTACTCACCATCTTTACAGAGAGAGGAAGTGCAGCATTTATGTCAGCGCAAAAACCCTGTGTTCCTTCAGGAGCTCAGAAGTTTGCTCCCAGAAGCCTGTGGCGTCAAGGGCTGACCTTTAAATGATTGTCCCCACTACTCTCAAACTTGTTCTTCATACCCGCTGAAAGGCTACTCCAGCCAACCTGTCCTTGTATTCACGTCCCACACCAGCCCACTTTTCTCTTCTCCACCGTCACTGTCCTGAACTCTTGTCTCATTTTGCAGCCCACACTAACTGGTTTTCCATTCTTGCTCATCTTCAATTTCATGTCCAGTCATAGCCAGAGTGACCTTTTCCACAACTTCGGATGACAGCACAGCCCTCCTGCTGAGTCCCCTGGTAGCTCCCTACTGTGATCAAGATAAAGCTTGGGTTCTGTTGTATTCGCTACAAGACCCTCAGGTCTTTCCTTCTTTGTCTCTCTTTTCCTGGCTGGCACCTCAGGGCACATCGTGTTAAGCACTTGCCGTTCCTTAGAGGGTTGTCATTCCACCCTCTGGACTTGGGTGCAGGTCACCCCCTCCGCCTAAAGGTTTCTGCTCCTTGACTCATCTCTCCCACTATCAGTTTAGATGAATGCTGTCCAATAGGAATTTCATATGAACTACATGTTTATTTAATTGTAAACTTCTACTAGCTGCATTTTATTTTATTTATTTTTTTTTTTTATTTTATTTTTTTTTTGGTTTTTCTCCGGTACCGGGAACCGAACTCACGACCTTGCGCTTGCCAGGCAGGCGCTTTTGCCGCTGAGCTAAATCCCCAGCCCTAGCTGCATTTTATAAAGTAAAAATTATATGAGACTATAAAACAAGAATCCCATCTCCCATGATCCACTGGGGAAAGTGAATCTCCAAATTGAATTATATTGGATGGAAAAATACTTCACATTACTTCAATTTTATATTTAAGTTAAGTAATGTTTAAAAAATTCATTTCTTCACTCATATTTCTTCACTCATGTTAGTCAAATTTCACATCATTAATAATCCCACTGGGCTGGCAGCCAACTTACTGGCTAGTATGGGTTTAGACATAACTTTCTGACATTCCTTGCCTGCATTAGCTGCCCCCCTTAGGTTACTTCGATATTCTGTGCTTAACTCCATCACCATACTCTTTATACTGTGAAAGAGTTGCTTGCTTACATGTCTGTGTCCTTCATTAGACTCTGAACTCTGAGCTTCTTTTTTTTGAGCTTCTTGATAGTGAAGACTTTGTTCCGTTCATCTCTATGTTGTCAATACGCAACAATTCTGGGCTACAGTAGTTTCTTGGTTTGTTTGAGGCTTGAACCACAATAAGCCTCTTGGGGCCCACAGGACACTGAAAAATCTGGTCTTCCTTGATGCCCTCTGACCCTGTCTCCTACCACGCTCCCCTTTGTTTATTGACTCCAACTACACTGGCCTCCTTACCATTCCCAGAATGACCTACGTATGAGCTAACCTCAGGGCCTTTGCACTATGCTCACTGACCCTGGGGCAGTCTTCCCTTGGCTTTGCTTGCTCTCTTACCAGTGTGAAGTATTTCATCAAAACTGCCTTCCTTTACCAACCTTTCTAAAATAGGCCTGATCCCAATAGTTGTTTTCTAGCTCTTTAGCTATCGTTTCCATCAGAGCCTCTGCCATCATGTGTCATCTTATACATAGTTAATTTTGCTCTTCTTGTTAGAATTCAAGTTTCTTTTTTTTAATTTTAAAGAGAAAAAACAATAAAAACGATGATACAATATTTCAAAACAAGATAGTAGGAGATTAATCATGATTTGTGCATTGTTATTTTATCTTATCTATTGTCATTTCAAAGTAGTTGCTCAGATCATAAGATATAGGCATAAAAATTGATCAAATGATATAAGCACAAACCTTTCTTTTCAATTAACTAATAGAAATTGGTAGTATAGCTATATTAACTAATATATATATATACATATATATATATTCTTTCCTATTCCCTTCCTTTTCTCCTTTCCCCATCCCAGTTTCTCTTTCCTTTTGAGCAGTTTCTTCCCATTTCCCAATATCTACTGTACTTTTTGACTCTTATTTACTCTTTCAGCTTCTTACACTAGGGAGACAATATGAATGTTTACACATGTGAGACTAATTTATTTCACTTATGAGTATGGTCTCAAGTTGCATCCATGTACCTATAAATGTCTCAAGTTTATCCTTCTTTACAGCTGAGTAGTACTCCATTGTATAAAAATACCACATCTTTTTTAGTCCATTCCTTGGTTGATGAGCAAGCATTTGGATTGTTTCCAAGATTTAGCTATTACAAATAGGGACTCTTGTTTTATAGTACTCATATACTTTTTACTTTATAAAATGCAACTACTAGAAGTTTATAATTAAATAAACATGTAACTCCTATAAACATGGGTGCACATATATTGCTGTTTTTAATTCTTCTGGAAAAATACCCAGAAGGAGGGATAGCTAGGTTGAATGGGACCTCTATTCCTATTTTCTTT